TTCTCAACCTCTTCGAGTACTGGTGATCTCATTTTTGTCAGCATAGTTACTCCCTTTGCAACAACAGCGTCCTTTATTTCCTTTTTCTTGGCCACTATGGAACATAAGGTTGTGTAGGGTTTCTTATACATCCTGGACAGTTCGGCCACACTTGTACCACTTTCATATTGCTCAATGATGGTTTTCTTAAATTCAGTCGTATTTCTCACCTTCTTTACCACAGGCTTGGCACTAGGAGCTTTCTTTGGAGACATGATAGCTTATTTAGTACTTGCAAGCACTAAAATAAATGGAATATTATGAAATATTTTGCTGGAGCACGTGAGGGGACCTTCGCTCACTGGTAAACAATGCCAGACTGGCTGCCACCCCGGCTCACGCCGTGGGTACGCGTCCCGGACGAACTACGACTCGCGAGTCAACCTATGAAAAGCGAGTCCATGTTTATATGAAAATATCCCTTTGATTGGCGAAATTTACGATTGCCGGGAACTATGAAAAGCGGGGAACCACTGTATATACATGTACATCTTACAAGCCAGTGTTTTTGACGTATTTATACTCCAAAATTCTACCGGCTTCAAATCAAGTAGGAGAAAGCTGGTAGGCCCATATGTGAGAGAATGGGTCTGTGTGGTCAGTGTGCACAGTATAAAAAAAAATCCTGCAGCACGCAGTGCATAATGAGAAAAAAGCCTCCGACCTTGTTTTTGGATTAAAACGCCGACTTTGGCTTGTATTTTCGTATAGTATTTATGGTTGTATTCTCGTTTTCTTGGTCTCATTTGATATTGAAATTGAGCTCAAAATAGCGGAAATGTTCGATTTTTGCAGATGTTCAAGAGTAATCGAATGATGTTATTGTTCAATAAGTGTACAACTAGCCATTCTAATATGCTGTCACGAATGGGTTAACATTATTTATACATTTATTACAATAATGCAGAAGTCTGCATAACAGTAAATCTTCTGTTGTTTGTGTGAATAAAAATTCAAAATAGAAAGCAAGAGTAATACAAGAGGGGCCTGGAGACATGACTGGTGATCAGAGAATATGTTATTTTAGTGCCAGGAATGTCTGCATTGTTCATTCTGGACCCTATTTTGAAATTGGCATATTTTTTAATTTGCATGAAATTGGCCTAATTGCCAATTTCTGACCACTTTATTGGGTAGTTGAAATCGATAAATGGGTGGTTTCTTGTACTCAATCGATAGAACAAATGGAGTTCTAAAGAAATAGCTATGAGTTTGGTCGACTGGAACAATGGAATTGGCCAAAAATAGGGCTCAAAGTGGGTGAAATCGCCGATGTGTAATTATTGCCAAGATTGCTAATTTCGCAAGAGCGTAATTCCGTAAGTTTTCCATCAAATTAAGTACTTTTGGTGTCATTACAATCGGGAAAAGATTCTCTATCATTACTTAAGAAATTTTTTTTTTTTTTTAAATTCTTCAACACTGAGAGCAAGTTTGTGAGCGGGGGTCTCGACAGTCAAAGGGTTAAAGAGGGTACCGAAGGAGCTGAAACACCTGGTCCATCACCAGGGTACTGAAGGAGCTGAAGCACCTGGTCCATCACCAGGGTACCGAAGGAGCTGAAACACCTGGTCCATCACCAGGGTACTGAAGGAGCTGAAGCACCAGGTCCATCACCAGGGTACCGAAGGAGCTGAAACACCTGGTCCATCACCAGGGTACTGAAGGAGCTGAAGCACCTGGTCCATCACCAGGGTACTGAAGGAGCTGAAGCACCTGGTCCATCACCAGGCTACTGAAGGAGCTGAAGCACCAGGTCCATCACCAGGGTACTGAAGGAGCTGAAACACCTGGTCCATCACCAGGGTACTGAAGGAGCTGAAGCACCAGGTCCATCACCAGGGTACTGAAGGAGCTGAAACACCTGGTCCATCACCAGGGTACTGAAGGAACTGAAGTACCTGGTCCATCACCAGGGTACTGAAGGAGCTGAAGCACATGGTCCATCACCAGGGTACTGAAGGAGCTGAAGTACCTGGTCCATCACCAGGGTACTGAAGGAGCTGCAGCCCCTGGCCCATCACCAGGGTACTGAAGGAGCTGAAGCACCTGGTCCATCACCAGGGTACTGAAGGAGCTGAAGCACCTGGTCTATCACCAGGGTACTGAAGGAGCTGAAACACCTGGTCCATCACCAGGGTACTGAAGGAGCTGAAGCACCAGGTCCATCACCAGGGTACTGAAGGAGCTGAAGTACCTGGTCCATCACCAGGGTACTGAAGGAGCTGAAACACCTGGTCCATCACCAGGGTACTGAAGGAGCTGAAGCACCTGGTCCATCACCAGGGTACTGAAGGAGCTGAAGCACCTGGTCTATCACCAGGGTACTGAAGGAACTGAAGTACCTGGTCCATCACCAGGGTACTGAAGGAACTGAAGTACCTGGTCCATCACCAGGGTACTGAAGGAGCTGAAGCACATGGTCCATCACCAGGGTACTGAAGGAGCTGAAGCACCTGGTCTATCACCAGGGTACTGAAGGAACTGAAGCACCTGGTCCATCACCAGGGTACTGAAGGAACTGAAGTACCTGGTCCATCACCAGGGTACTGAAGGAGCTGAAGCACCAGGTCCATCACCAGGGTACTGAAGGAGCTGAAGCACCTGGTCCATCACCAGGGTACTGAAGGAACTGAAGTACCTGGTCCATCACCAGGGTACTGAAGGAGCTGAAGCACCTGGTCCCTCACCAGGGTACTGAAGGAGCTGAAGCACCTGGTCCATCACCAGGGTACTGAAGGAGCTGAAGCACCTGGTCCATCACCAGGGTACTGAAGGAGCTGAAGCACCTGGTCTATCACCAGGGTACTGAAGGAGCTGAAACACCTGGTCCATCACCAGGGTACTATTAAGGAGGGTACTGAAGGAACTGAAGTACCTGGTCCATCACCAGGGTACTGAAGGAGCTGAAGCACCAGGTCCATCACCAGGGTACTGAAGGAACTGAAGTACCTGGTCCATCACCAGGGTACTGAAGGAGCTGAAGCACCTGGTCTATCACCAGGGTACTGAAGGAGCTGAAGCACCTGGTCCATCACCAGGGTACTGAAGGAGCTGAAGCACCTGGTCCATCACCAGGGTACTATTAAGGAGGGTACTGAAGGAACTGAAGTACCTGGTCCATCACCAGGGTACTGAAGGAGCTGAAGCACCAGGTCCATCACCAGGGTACTGAAGGAACTGAAGTACCTGGTCCATCACCAGGGTACTGAAGGAACTGAAGCACCTGGTCCATCACCAGGGTACTGAAGGAGCTGAAGCACCTGGTCCATCACCAGGGTACTGAAGGAGCTGAAACACCTGGTCCATCACCAGGGTACTATTAAGGAGGGTACTGAAGGAACTGAAGTACCTGGTCCATCACCAGGGTACTGAAGGAGCTGAAGCACCTGGTCCATCACCAGGGTACTGAAGGAGCTGAAGCACCAGGTCCATCACCAGGGTACTGAAGGAGCTGAAGCACCTGGTCCATCACCAGGGTACTGAAGGAGCTGAAGCACCTGGTCCATCACCAGGGTACTGAAGGAGCTGAAACACCTGGTCCATCACCAGGGTACTATTAAGGAGGGTACTGAAGGAACTGAAGTACCTGGTCCATCACCAGGGTACTAAAGGAGCTGAAGCACCTGGTCTATCACCAGGGTACTGAAGGAACTGAAACACCATGGAGTTGGTGAAGAGATAGTCTTGAAAGAACTCAATTTTGGATGCCATACTACAGAATGGATATTAATGCATTAGAGAACATACAGTGAGGGATGACAAAATTAATCCACTGTATAAGGAATCTCATACAAGGATAGGTTGAGATCCTTGAACCTTCATTCACTTCAGAGATGTAAACTGAGAGGAGATATCATTGAAGTATACAAGTTGATGATTAAGACACACACGCAACAGTTTGGTGTGTTAATCTTGAACTTATCAGAATTTTATACCATTTTCAATAATACACGTTAAAGACTGGCACAAACAAATGCAATATAAACAATTACTGATTATATGGAAACAATGAAGAACTTGAAATAGCAGATTTACATTAGATAAATTTACATCTAGAAAAGATGTAAGATATTACTAGTTTTCAGACAGTTGTCAATGAGTAAAACATTCTGCCAAGTAAGGTCATAGAAGCTTAAAAACGGGGGCTTTAAAAAATAGGTTACACAAATTTGCGAGTGAGAAGGATCGGATTTGATTAGGACCTCTTTCTCATGAAGCATTGAGGCTAACTTGTTTGGTAGCTTTGGAATAGGTTGGACAATATACATATATGGGCGAGAAAGGATTTGAGAAGGACCTGCCTAGTATGGGCTAGTAGGCCTTCAGCAGTGTTCCTCCATTCTTATATTTTTTTATGTTATGATCTATGCATAAGGGATTATAATAATAGTGTTTACAGGGTAAAGAAACCAGTGCCAAAGATTTTGTAATAATTTTTTAAAATTAGCACTTAGCCCACTGATACTCAAACCTTTTTAAGTAAGCTACATCAGTGTTGAAAAATTGAAGTCAGTCAGAAATGGCATTCTTGAGTTGAAAAACAAAAAAATCTGGATTTTTTAAAAGTTTGCAGATTTGCATCTGCCAGGTCCAATAACAGTTCAAACATTTTAATTAAGATACATCAGTATTTAAAGTTTGAAATCAGTCAGAAGAGGCATTCTAATGTTATCCTTTTAAGGGAGGTGGTGCCTTGAAGCTGGTGAAGGGTTCCCGAGTGAAACAGTTGGAGCTATGCTCCCTTTCCTTTGAATCTGATTGCCTGCTGATAATAAGCTGTATTCTGCATCACAAGGCAATAATGTCTAAAACATTTCTGAAATTCTTCATGTTTTGTTTATTTATGTTTTGTATATTTATGTTTTGTATATTTATGTTTTGTATATTTATGTTTTGTATATTTATGTTTTGTATATTTATGTTTTGTATATTTATGTAATTGTGTATAAATGTTTCAGCTCCTGGGGAGAGTCCATGCTACTGCTTGTGGGTCTTGCTGCCTGCTCCTCCAATACCTGGTCACTACTGGTACACAATCACAGGAGTTCATCTTGAACCACAGTTTGGCCTTAGACTTTTAGTTAAAGAAATTAGGTAAGAAATATTTATAGCTCTTTGGTGGTATTTCCCTGCCATTGGTGATTATGTGTGATTACTTATTTGTGTCTGTTACTATGTAAATTTTTCAGTGGTTGCCATATGTATTAATTCCTCATGTAATCCATTCCATTATTCTAACAATCTGTATGTGAAGAAAGTGTCATTGGAATGCAGGTTCATGTATAGTTTAAAGTTCATGGTACTTGAAGTTCAGTTTAAAGTGTGCAGGGTTGAGAGGCCGCCTGTATATTACAAAAGATTGCTCATATTTTCATCACTGCTCTTAAATGGTTCTTTATTTCTGTTAAATCCTACAGTGTCTTCACTGCAACTTGCACCACTGCTATGTATGATATAACTTTACCTGGAAATCCTCTTAATTTGACTTTCACTAAATTATCATTTCTCTGCCATAGTTCCAAATGGAGTGTAGTACTGTAGTGGATGCCCATATACTACAGTACTGTCTACCAGATGCACTACATGGGTCATTGTTTATTTTCTAGAAGGGGCCAGGTTGCACCCAACCCAGAAGTTGTTTGAAAGGTTTAAAATGTCAGATCAAGTGAAATATAGAGCTCTTTGACTTTGTGTATATGTACTGTATATACATTATGCCAAGTAAATTATGTAAATAAATTGTTACCTGTTTAAGGGTTACTGGGTAAGTACCTGTACAGTGTTTTTTGTGGTAAGAGGAGGTTGGAGGTTAACTAATGTTTAGTTCTTAAATAATCTTTAAGCATTAGGACTAGTCTGCCCAAAATTCACCGGAATTCAGTGGAACCTGTACTTACGAGTTTAATCAGTTCCGTGACCTTGCTCACATCTGGAATTGGTGCATATGCAGAGTCAATTTTCCTTATTTAGCCCTTTCAGGGTTGGTGCCGTACTAGTACGGCTTGCATGCCAGGGTTGGTGCCGTACTAGTATGCATAAATTCTAGCGCCTTCAAATCTATTGAGAGAAAGCTGGTAGGCCTACATATGAAAGAATGGGTCTACGTGGTGAACATGCACAGTATGAAAAAAATTCTGCAGCACACAGTGCATAATGAGAAAAAAAACTCCGACCATGTTTTTGGTTTAAAACAGCAACTTTGCAGTGTATTTTCATATGCTATTTATGGCTGCATTCTAGTTTTCCTGGTCTCATTTTATAGAATGGAAGACATTTTTACAGAAATTGAGATGATTTTGATTGGTTTCACAAAGAAAAGTACCTTGAAATTGAGCTCAGAGTAGCAGAAATGTTCAATTTTTGCCAAAGTTCAAAAGTAAACAAATTATGCCATGTGTCCAATACACGTCAACTGCTCAATCTAATACACCTACCATCCGACTTACGACCTGCTCGACTTACGACCGTGTTTTTTATGCCAAATTTCTGGGAAATAAGCAACTATTTGTGTTGTACACAGTGTTTATCCTAAACCTTACAGTATAAAATATAGTGCTAACAACATACAAAGTAAAGTAAAACATGAAATACCAAAATAAAACAATAAAATAAAGTCATTACAAAACTGTTTTGTTGATATTCAGTAGTAAAGTTCGACTTACGAACATTTCGACTTATGACCGGTTTCTCGGAACTGAACTCGGTTGTAAGTCAGATGGTAGATGCATTCTTTTACAAGCGCACTGATATTATTTATACCATTTCTACACCAGTGCAGTAGACTGCATGACAGTAAATCTTCTATTTTTTTGAGAATAAAAATTCAAAGTGGAAAGCAAAAGAAATGTAACAGAGGCCTGGGGACGAGACTAATGAACAGAGGAAATGTTATTTTAGTGCTATGAATGTCTGTCTTGTTAATTCTGGACCCTATTTGGAAATTGGCATCTTTTGAAATTTGTGTGAAATTGGCAAAATTGCCAATTTCTGACCACTTTATTGGATAGTTGAAATCGGTAAATGGGTGGTTTCTCGTACTCTTTTGATAGAAAAAATGGAGTTCTAGCAAAATGGTTGTGATTTTTGTCGACTGGTACATTGGAATTGGCCGAAAATAGGGCTCAAAGTGGGTGAAATCGCTGGTGCATAAACATCGTCAAGACCGCTAACTTTGCAAGAGCATAATTCCGTAAGTTTTCCATCAAATTTCATACTTTTGGTGTCATTATGATCGGGAAAAAATTCTTTATCATTTCATAAGAAAAAAAATTACTTTTTTTTTTTTTTTTTTTTTTTTTTTTTTTTTTTTTTTTTTTTTTTTTTTTTTTTTTGAAAAATTTTCGACCCTGAGAACAAGTTTAGAAGAGGGTCTGCCAACCCTGAGAGGGTTAAAGTAATCGAAATGGAATTAATCTGTTCTGGCTCTTAGGAGGCACGACAAATTACTTCAATAATTTCCCGAATATCAACTCTATGGCTTATTTATCTATCACAATTCATCTAATATGACATAATAAACAATATTAATGACATAATAAACAATATTAATAACATAAAAACTTGATATATACACTAGAATGAATGAAATATTATGTATCTTGAGTAGTGGTAGCGGAGGCGGGGGCACCACATTGGCCATTCCTGCTCTTGACTACATACCTTCCCATGCTTTTATTATAACAGTGTTTTTAAGGCAAACTGCATTAAATCACACTGTGGTTTCATAAGGAAAACAATAATGCTACACTCTTAATGTTACACTCTTAACCCTTAACCCCTTGACTGTCACAACCCCAAATCCTGAGGTGTCTCCTGGTGTCGCAAAATTTAAGAAAAAAAAATAAAATTTCTTATGAAATGATAGAGAATCTTTTCCCGATTGTAATGACACCAAAAGAATAAAATTTGATGGAAAACTGGTGGAATTACACTCTTGCGAGGTCGGCATTTTAATTAAAAAAAAAACGGTTGGAGTTTTTTTTCTCATTATGCACTGCGTGCAGCAGGATTTTTTTTTATATGGTGCACACTGACCACACAGACCCATTCTCTCACATGTGGGCCTACCAGCTTTCTCCTGCTTGATTTGAAGCCGCTAGAATTTATGAGTATATATACGTCAAACACGGTGGCTCATAAAATGTATATCTTTCTTTCAACACACCGTCTGTATCCCACCGAGGCAGGGTGGCCCAAAAGGAGAAACAAAAGTTTCTCCTTGTACATTTAGTAATATATACAGGAGAAGGGGTTACTAGCCCCTTGCTCCTGGCATTTTAGTCGCCTCTTACAACACACATGGCTTACGGAGGAAGAATTCTGTTCCACTTCCCCATGGAGATAAGAGGAAATAAACAAGAACAAGAACTAGAAAGAAAATAGCAGAAAACCCAGAGGGGTGTGTGTATATATACATGCTTGTACACGTATGTGTAGTGTGACCTAAGTGTAAGTAGAAGTAGCAAGACGTCCCTGTAATCTTGCATATTTATGAGACAGACAAAAGACACCAGCAATCCTACCATCATGTAAAACAATTACAGGCTTTTGTTTTACACTCACTTGGCAGGACGGTAGTACCCCCCTGGATGGTTGTTGTCTACCAACCTACTACCTTTATAAGATGTATATACATGACCAAAACAGTCAAAGGGTTAAACTGTCCAAACGTAGATCTACGTTCACTCACGTGGCACTCTGAAAATTTTGAAAAACAAAAAAATTGTTTTTTTCTTTTAAAATGAAGAGCACATTTTTCTACATGTTATAGGTTTAAAAAAAAATTTTAGGGTCAGTACTTACTGAGAAATAAGTCCGTGAAGTTGGCTCTGGATGCTCACCTGTCGACAATATCGACTCCTGCCACTTGCAGAAGTGTTGCCGATATACCTTTTTTTCTTGTTTTTATTTTAATTTATATGTTTTTTATGTTCTGATAATTACAATTTATAATAGTTCTTGTATTTCCCCATGGGGCCAAAATCTTTGTTCGGGACGCTAATTTTTGGTCTAAAAGGGTGTTCAATTGTCAAAATTCACATTGACGGGTTTAAACCCATTTACACCGGGTTGGGTTTTTTTTACATTTTTTCTAAAAATTTTATACAAAGTATTTTAAGGTCCCAACAATTTTTTTAGTTTACCCGGCCCCATACCTTAAAGCATGGTGTTTGAAAGGCATCCCTATACACCCCCGGGGACTTTTGGAAAAATTTCCCCCCACGCTCCAGCAAAACCCTCCCGGGAATTTACCCACTGTTACCCCAAAAAACATGTCTTGCCCTCTCTTTTCTATTTGTCTGTCGTCTGTTGCCTGTCTCTCTGCCTCCCTTTTCTGTCTGTCTGTTTTCTGTTTGCTGTTTTCTGTTTTGCCTGGAGTATATTATATGCACTCCTTGAAAAATTTAGTGTTAGGGACATTTTGTTATCAGTTGTTTAATATGTTTTTATGCCCCCCAACCCACCCTGGGGGCGGTAGTAAAAAGTTACAGAGGTAAAAAATTGGTCCGGGGGACTGGACCCCAAAAATTTTTGGGTGATGACCCCTTTTTACGAGGAAATGAACTCAAAATTAAAAGGAAAAGGAACTCACAATTTACAAAGGTAAGGGAATCCGGGGTAGGTCGGGTTTTCCAATCATGACAAGTTGCAAAGGTTTTTACAGATTCAGAGGTACGTAATGGGCCCCGGGGTTTGGGGCCCCCCAAAGTTTTGATAGCTAAAATAGGTACAACGGTAATGAGCCCCAAGTTAAAAAAAGGTAAAGGGGAAATCCTGTAAGAATTGGTTTAAATTACGTTTTTTAACCTGGTAAAATTTTCATGAAAAAAATTATAGAGTAATGACCCAATTCACGCTTCCACACCCGGTCACAAACTGAAAATGAGTTTTTGGGTTTGCAAATTTTTATTGTTGTGTGTGTTTTGGGTGTGTGTTGTGTTTTGTGTTGTGTGTGTGACTCCCCCTAATTGTACTCACATAATTGGGGTTTTTGCAGGGGTCGGACTAAGCCCCCTGGCCCCCCCTCTTAAACTGATCGTTATTGGTTTCCTTCTCTTTTGGGTTCCTGAGCTTTGCCCATACCTCTTCTTAAA